CACCCACACCCACACCCACACCCACCCACACCCACACCCACACACGAGCTCCACTCTTTTGGAGTGGACGATTATTTTTGGGCAATTAGAACTCTTAAAGCAATTCTCTGTTTTCATCTTTAGTGTACCATAGGCTGACACGCCCATTGACACCCTCACCCGAAGCTCGTTTCGTAATTAAATGACTCTTTCTGGATGAATATATGTATAGTGGGCATATATCAAAAATTCCGGAATTACCCGGAATGACCAGTAATTCCTGCATTTCCTGGTCATCGCTAATCTTTTCCAATTCCGGAATTCCACTATCCATTCATTCAAGCTCTGTAAATGATCACTTAGCCATCCATAAGATATTTGTAATTCCGGAATAGGCAGGAATGACCAGGAATTCCTGCATTTCCTAGTGATTCCGGATATGCACAAATTCCGGAATTCCGCTTTGCATTTATTCAAGCTCGATAAATGATCATTTAGCCATCCATGAGATATTTGTAATTCCGGAATAGGCAGGAATGACCAGGAATGCCTGCATTTCCTTGTGATTCCGGATATGCACAAATTCCGGAATTCCGCTTTGATATCGAATAGATCTTTTAAGATGATCACTTCGTTATTCAGTATATCCTTCGAATTCTGGAATTACCCGGAATGACCAGGAATTGCATGTTGAGAGTTGGATTTGAAAGGAACTACGAATCAGGAATTTCTGGTTGTGGCATGTATTTGAGGGAAAGGGTCGTTTTAGGTTTTCCGGAATTGATGGTAAGGGATTCCGGGTCAGAAGGCGATGCAGGAATGTGTAACTTTTGGGAATAGGAAGTATTCTCCCTTTGTGCCTAATTACATTCCAAGATGTAAAATTTAGTTCCTACTAAACGATAATTCGATGTTGATGTCTTAGGAAAAGGATATCTATTATTGAATAATAAAACAAGGAAACAATATTTTGAGTTAAGAAAATTTCATTTCCAGACATTCAGATTTGACTCATTTTATGGCTTTAATCGATATTTTTTTAAAATGGACATTCAATTCTTTGATACATGAAGAAGAAAAGTATACAATCATTTACAAACATCGATTTGTATCAGAGAATAAGTTCTTTCATCAATCGAAATGTTTTTCAACGAGATTTTCCATTATTCATTCTGACACATTTTAATTATACTCGTAAAACAAGAGAACCAAGGCTGAGACTAACAGAATATTGTCAGCAAAAAAGTGACTAACAATGGAAGAGTACCGATACGAAATGTTAATACAGTAGATGTTTGACAATATTAAAAAGCATCCAAATTCTTTCATCTACTCAAGTGATTAACAAAAATGGTGTGGGTGTGGATGGTTGAAGTGAATACCAACACCCACACCCCACCCTGCTTCGAAATAGATAAATTTAAGAAATTCTTCTGCAATTAGGAAAAGCAGCTAGATCGTGTTTCACATTTTAATCCCACAGGGATTACGCTAACAGCTTTTTACAATAGTTTTTATTCATAGAATTCGTAATATATTAAGTTTTACGATTTCTATATTATGAGTGTTGATTTTTAGGATGCGCTTAAGTAACATATTCTTCTTGATTAACTACACACTATGAAGTTTGCTTAGTATATTGTTTATTCATGAATTTCCTTGTTTTTGAATTCGAACACATATCTATTGAATAGTACTTTATTATTAACAAAAAGAAAAAGAAAACAAACAATTTATTTTCTATTCGTACTTTCATGAATCCATATTTTTATAAATTGATAACTATCAACTTGAATCATTTGATAGAAAATTGATGATATTATTAATTTTATATTAAGTGAAAAATTTGAAATAATTTTACTACACTTAAATTTAAAAGAAAAGCGTGATCTTTTGTTTTTATACTTCAATATCTCTCTCTACTGATTATTTAATATCATTTCGTCTAGAATGATATGAAACTTATATAAGATCAATCTAAACTTTAATTGAAATAATTTTTATCAAATTTTTTTTTTAATTTGTTTTGATATTCTAGGGTGAATATATTGCACCGAAACGTATTGAAAATATTTATATTCAGAGTATATATATATCTCAAGCATTTGTTTATGGTAATAGTTATAAGGTAAAATAATTTTTATATTATTATTCAATTGATATATACATTTTTTTTTTGTTGTTTTTCTATAGAGTCATACAGTAGCTATTATTGTTCCAGATTGTGATGTACTCTTTACCTGATGAATCCCGCTTGTCTTCAATTGAAGACAAGCAGAACGAAAGAATTTTTTTCTCGTTCTGTCGTGTCAATAACATATGTTTGGCGCGGAGAAAATGAATCGAGGATAGATCATATGTGCAATGGCGCTTGTCATTATATTTATAATCGATAATCTGTGACATATACATACAACTGATTGAACGCGACAGAACGCAAGAGAGAGTGATTTTTTTATTTTTATCCATATTATACAGAACGCAAGAAATTATCGGGATTCATGAGGTTAAAATATGCCAAGGAACATAATATTTCAGACAATATAGAAGAATTATGTAAGAAAAAAGAAATGAAAGATTTAATTTTCAATGATATAAAAGAATTGGAAAAGTCATATCAATTGAAAGGTTTTGAAATGGTATGTTCATCTTTCATGAGATCTTACAGAAAATTAAAGTTTGTTTTTGTGTACTCAAAAAGTGAGTACACTCTAGAATCGGTCAGTGTGTCCGGCCGTCCGGCCGTATACACGATAACGTTTGAAAGAAGAGTCCAATCGCGATGAAATTTTCTGCACAGTTTGGTCTTAACAATGTCTCGGTCGAGTTCGAAGATGAGAATGATTGGCCATACCATTGCTGAGTTAATGCAAAAATAGTCATTTTTTCCTATGCTTCCCTATGAGAAGATAGACCCTTCTCTGTTTTCGTAAAAAACTTTTCCTATCATAGTCAAATAAAACCCCAACTATTATATACCATTCGATAGAGAATTTCACGAGCTACAAAATGATATATAAAACATAAGGAAATAAGAAAGTTAACTCACCTATTGCAAAGATAATTAAACGGAATTCGGTTCTGTGTTTGTCCACGCTCTAATTGATCCATAAATAGAGCTCTATCTTTCGATCACAGAGATGATAGTTCGAGGTTTCCCGGGGTGGAGAACTCGAATCTGTGTTCCATGCGCCTCGAAATTCCATTGGTTGAGCAGTGACCAATAGAAATCAAGTTATAGGAAAAGCGAGTTTGTTAGGGTAAACCAAGGTGAATAGTTCAAATCTGAGCTGTATCTGCCTCCAAATCCTATTGGTTGAGCAGTAGCCAATAGAAATCAAGTGTTTATAGAAAAGGCTTGCCAGGACAATTTCGATGTCCACACATTCTAGGATGACTCATCTGCCTCATTCACTTTTTGCAGTACACATAACTCTCGGATTTAAATCCGAAGTTTCCGCATTTATTTTCTTTTTCATAGGTAAAAGATATTTATCTTCATTCAGAACAATTTTCAGTTGAAAATAATATATTAACACCAACAATGAGATCAAAACGATCTGAATTAACGAAATATTTTGAAAAACAAATTGATGAAATGTACAAATATATTGACTAATATTTTCTACATATTTTTATTCTTTGAATCTGATGATACATTTACCAGGAAATATTTTCTTTCTGTTTTTCATTCATTCAAAATCTTCCTCACATGTATTTTTATTTTTCTTATTCTACTTGTTTTGTGCATTTTGATACATGATGATACATTCATTCTATTTATATTCCGTTTTACAATTGTCGTGTATTGAGCCTCCATCTTATGAGATCTTCTTCGAGCATCGTCTAGATTGCATCTGGTAACATGAAACACAGTTATATGCAGCTTCTAGTGTTTTTTTTGTATTGTTTTCTTCTCTCTATTACTTTTATTTTATTTTATTCTATATTTTTATGTTTGGTTTTCTTCTGCTTTTTTTAAAGCATGCATACCTTTACATAATAATAGCCAACAAAATAAAATGAAAGACAGAATTATCATTTTAAAGGAAATGAAGAATTTCGAAAAATTGTTTTGTGATAAAAAAGACCTACGAATTGTTTACTAAATTCCAATGGACAGTATAATGGAGGTTTGTTAAAATATATAGAGTTAAAATTTGGGCATCTTCTTATCCTGCAGATCATGATAGGTGGAATCGACAGATACGACAGAAATAACTAAGGACACACATTCTAGCAATATTTCGCTACTATGCGTCACTGATCACGTTAATGTTATTGATGTACGATGAGTAAACATATATCCAAAGCATCTCATTATAATGTATGTGAGCTACCTCGGGTGTGGGTGTGAATATTCGTTTAATCCGCACCCACAGCCAATTGTTTTTTTTAGTTTCATTTTGTCTTATTTCATTGAAAGTACAGGTGATATTTATTCCATATAAATAGTTTAATATTATCAAAAGACGTTTAAACATCGAATTCTTAACATATATTAACATAAATCTTGTTAACATCAATGAACTCATCGTATAAGCACATTACGAAAACATACAACATGTTTATAATTGAAATACTTCAGAAAAATGCTCAGTTATAATTAATTTCGATGCTGTATGATTGTGCTGCAGTTCAGCCTTTTAAAATGAAGGTTTCGTACTTTATCGATTTATTTTCTGCATAAGAAATCAAGCATATCTTCTTTATTTAAAAATAATTTATTGGATAAATACAAGTCTCAGTGTAAATTAATGTGAAAACTTACACTAATTCCTCTAAGAGTAGGTTAGTTGATTACAAGTAATGTTTCTAATACTATGTAGAATGATTTTCATTCAACCGGTTGCATAAAATGTATCTGAAAATTTCTTCGATTTGTACAATAAAGAGACCTTTCTTCATGGGAAGAAAAACATGATTGAAGATATTTTCATATGAAATTGTGTATTTTTAATTGATTAATCATCACAGATGTACACTAATGTAATCGATGTGATAATTTCGCATGTTCAAGGTTGTTCTTCATCATCTAATCTGCCTTCCCATTATTTATCAAATAAAACACCGTTTGAAAGTTGGGTGTGGGTGCGAATGTAGTTTTGATGAACATTCCGAATCTAATACCCACACCCACACCCTAAAAATGTTTTTCTCGAAGGGTAACAATGTGATTTTAAATAGTATCAACAACAAATTTTATACCAAATTTATGTTATATCAGCAAAGAAAAATTTTTCTTTCATGAAGTAAAGCCATCGACACATTAGAAGACCCGGGGTCTTCTATTCTGTCTTATCGTTCATAAGTTAAAAGGGGGGTCTTCTATTATGTCCCTTAAAAAAGTCATATTTTTTGGCAATCCCACCTACAAACCTTAGCTTCATTTGATTTTTGTCCAATATATCGTTGGTAAATGAGTTTGGTTCACTTATTTCACATGTGTAGAATAAGAAAGAAACAGATATCATCCTGTGAAAAAAGGGAGACCATTGTTGGTAAGAAGTGTTCTTAGAACAATACAGTGAATGTAGCCTAGCATCTTGGTACGATATCCCATATCGTTCTTTTTTCTCTAGGCTAACACCTATCACTGGCAACATTTTACCTTCTCAATAACTAAATAAATGTAAAAAAAGAAAATTAATGTTTTTTATCAAACTCATTTTATTCAGTTGCTTATGTGGAGATGTGATTAGTATAGATGGAATCTATTCATAGTGAATTCTGCTACTAGTAAAGTTATTAATCTTAAGCTAACTTCAATGAATACGATTGTCTTGTGAAGAAACCATCTATAGAAAATCAGCAGTTGAATACACACACTGTTTTTCTTTTGCGTCTGTTTCAAAAAATGCCATTGTATCTTATTGAAAAAAGAAATGCATTCTGAAACTCAAAAAAGTACTCACATATCAAATCTCGACGTTTATACAGTCTACGCAAAAAATTCTGGGACATTCAAGAATGGCTCTCCGAAATTTCATCTTTCATTTGAAATAAACTTTATATATATTTTTTAAGTATAGTTACTGGTTAAACTTTCGTACTTTACTCTACACACGCAAAACTTCTAGTTTTAATATTATATGAAACTGTAACCAGTAACTATACTTAAAATATATGTAAAGTTTGTTTCAAATGAAATATAAAATTTTGAAGAACCATTCTTGAGTGTCCCAGAATTTTTTGTATAGACTGTGCATGAAGTTATGTTTTCTTCAATTATGAAAGACTGTTTTGTGGTGAAAACGTTTCTGATTTTCTAGAAGAAAGTCAAAGATAAAGAGACCTTTGAATTAATACAAAGCGGCACTTTACCTAATCTGTTACTATTGTACAAAGATCCCTGCACGTGTTACATGCACGAACGGGTACTGCGTTCATTAGATCCTATGACTATGGAAGCGTGTTTTCGTGTATAGAGCCTGAAGAATGTATTCAACGTAAGCTGCAAAGGAGTACTAAAATGACTCCATGGTATATTTTTACAAAGAAACGCAATCTTTAATAGACAGTTGTTTCCTATTAGTTGCTTCTCAAGATTTTACTCATTCGAGCCTGACACTTGGTTATGAGGGAGGAAGCAAGATATTGTTCGTACTGAATTTCGATATCATTCTAGGCTTAAATACTAAACAAGTCAATAAACTCCAGAAACTGTTTCAAAATATCGATTTTTTAAGAGGGGGGGGGGGGGGTCTTCTAATATGTCTTTTGCGTCATTTATTCAAGGGGGGTCTTCTAGTGTGTCGATGGCTTTAGTTCGAATTAGATCTCGCATAAAATGATGAATATCAAAAGAGATATCAACCATGAGCGTTTTTACAGCAGAAGGATGAGACAAATATGAACATAAAATAATTTGAAATAGGTCAATGTTTGTTTTCATGTTTGCCAAAACATATGAAATATGTTCTTTTCTTTTTTTGAGTTTCTTCATCATAATGATTGTGTTCTATCTCTGATAGCAATTTTCTTCAGTTTCATTTTTGACTATTTTTCCAATATTTCTAGGACCTTACTATTTAGCATTGAAAAATTCCATTTTCGACACGTTTTTATTTGATATAAAAATTGTTCTTGATGTTTTATTTGAAATCACAGTGTTACTCCTCTTGGAAAAACAACATTTTTATCTACCCTGTATATTATACTTCTCTTTTTCACAACAACTAAATGACTATATATAGCAGGATAAGAAGAAAAAATCTAACAGATAATGAAGATGAATAGAGATT